TGGACAATGACCAAGGAGGATAGAAGGAGAATTGATGCCTTTGAGCTATGTTGCTGGAGAAGAGTATTGAGAGTACCATGGACAGCTAGGAAAACAAACAGATTCGTCCTGGAAAGGGTTAAACCGGGTGGCTCCTTGGAGGCAAGGATTCTGAAGCTCTGTCTAACATACTTTGGACATGTTGTGAGGAGAGACCAGTCCTTTGAGAAGGAAGGACATCATGCTTGGAAGGGTGGAGGGACAGCGCAGGAGGGGAAGGCCCTCTATGAGGTGGATTGATTCAGTGACTGGGATAATCGGAATGGGTGTGTCAGAGATAGTGCGATTGGCACAGGACAGAGCAGAGTTTAGGGCCTTTGTACATAGAGGAGCTATGAGTCACAGGCGACTCGATGGCACATAACAAAACAAATACGGTATAAGCCACTAAACATCTCTTTTCTCACTCTTTTTCTCATTGCTGTCCAATTTGCACTTAAACAAAACTGAGCCTCTAGCACTGCAACTCTATGAGAACATGCCACCAGAGCCCCCTAAAAACCCACTGAGGGTCCACTTTTAAACCCACTGCTGTCTCTAGTCTTTTTCTAGAGTGGATCTGTCCCATAGTGTTTCCAAGGTGGCATGTTTTTGCAGGAGCAGACTATCCCATCTTTTTTTCTACAGAGCAACCTTTCAGAGTAGCTGAGTGTCTTACTTACTGTACCACCAGAGTTCTTTGAATGAGTACTTAAAGTGGGGAAGTTGTACTGTATGTGAATTATGTCTCAGTATATTCCATGGTCTACTCAGTTGCTTGGTATGCATCTGAGATCTGGACGGTGACTAAGGATGACAGAAGAAGAATCGAGGCCTTTGAGTTGTAGTGCTGGAGAAGAGTATTTAACATACCATGGACTGCCAAGAGAACAAACAGGTCTGTCCTGGAGAGGGTGAAACCAGGTTGCTCTTCAGAGGCAAGGATTTAGAAGCTCCATTTCTTAGGGCACGTGGCCAGGAGGGAACAGACCTTGGAGAAAGATATCATACTTGGAAGGGTGGAGGATCAGTGCCGACGTGAAAGATCCTGGATGAGATGGGTTGACACAGTGACCGTCGTAATGGGGTCAGGTGTGTCTGAGACAGGGTAGGGCTCAGGGCCATTGTTCATAGGGTCTCTATGAGTAGTCGTCAGCTCAATGGCACATAACAACAATGTATTTGTTAGAGGGGAGGGAGAAGGGGAGAGAAAAGGGAGGAGGGAGAAATTAAGAGGGGGAAAGAGAGACAGGGAAGGAGAGAAAGAGAATTTAAAAAGCACAGCAAGAGGTTCATGCAGCTCCTATCTCCTCCACTCCCCACCCCAGACCGCTGGTGGTGTGATGATTCAAAGGGCTTGGAGCAATTTCGAGAAAAGGTCAAGAAATGCGGAAGTTTTAAGATTTAAGATTCTAGGTCCACTGTAGTGCAACCCCATCTTTCCCCGTTGTGGGTGGGGGGCTTAGATGTCTGTGGCCAGTGTCAGTAGGTACGTGTCCATCCTCGCCCCCACAGAGCAGACTCCATCCTCCACTCCCTGGGTGCAGACCTCACTAACCAGCCACACGTCTCCGGAAATGAGACTGTGTGCAGAACTGGCTCCCAGAGTGGGTGCGGCTGGGATGGCCCAGCCTCCCCAACCGGTCACACAACACCAGCCTGTCAGTTGCTCTGCCCGCCTCCTCCCACAGCAAGCGCGGGGTCAACCACCCGGTGATGGTTAATTACAACAAGGGCAGGGCCAGAGGGTCCCCAGAGACGGTGGGCTGGACCCCGCAAGCCTGCCTCCGAGCTTTGGTCACTCTCAAGACAGAGGGGACGTGGTGTGCACACAATCGCATTAGGAAGGAGCTGGAAGTCTGGAACTGAACCCCTTGCGGAGGCCTCGCCCCCTCCCGGCCACGCCCTCGGGCCCCACTGGGCGGTGCGCGCTGCGGTCCTGGCTGCGCCGCCG